AAAGAAAGTTTCCCTGTCCTCCAGTCCTGAACTGGTACCTCCCGCCGCTATCTGCAAAAGAAAAAAAAAGGTGCTGGAAACCAGATCACGGTGCATCCAGCATCCCTTATGGTCTCACCTGAAGAGATCAGTAAAAGTGTGGATCGATAACACCGAGGCAACTAGAGGGGGAGGGGCAGCGCGAAAAAGTCTCCTGAACTCCTTAAAAGCTTCTCCAGAGGTGTTTCGTTTGGCATGCGTTCCAGTGAGGCTGTTTTCGCCCGTCCCTTATGCTCCTGACCCAAACAAACACTAGACCCCTCTTCTGCCCTCACGTCACTCCGCCGCACTTCCCTTTTCTTTGTGATTTCTACAGCCCCTGTGATGAAGCGCTCAAATCATAAAATGTCTTGATGATCTATTGTAATTTATGCAACGGCGGTCTGAATTCTTCATCACTGGGTGAGATCATTCCTGGCCTGGCAAGAAAAAACAGTTCCCTCGTTTCCTTTACGGTTGCCAACTACCTGGGGGCAAAAAACCAAACAAACAGACCCTGCACTTAGACCTTTAATAGAGCCTTGATACATGGAGAAGAGCAAAGGCAGCAGGCATATCAGCATGGAGATAAACAGGATTCGCCTCCTAATGTCTGCTAAACAAGTTTACCGTTAGGTACAACTGCAGAGGCCAAGCTGTAAGGCTGCCAAGTTCTTCTTAGCCAGTTCCCTCGTTTCCTTTACGGTTGCCAACTACCTGGGGGCAAAAAACCAAACAAACAGACCCTGCACTTATACCTTTAACAGAGCCTTGATACATGGAGAAGAGCCAGGGCAGCAGGCATATCAGCATGGAGAGAAACAGGATTAGCCTCCTAATGTCTGCTAAACAAGTTTACCCTTAGGTACAACTGCAGAGGCCAAACTGTAAGGCTGCCAAGTTCTTCTTAGCTCTCTTTCCTGCTGGCCCAAAAGCAGCTAGGAAAAATCATAAATCACGGATATTTGTCCCAAACTGCACGTTAAGGTCTTCAGCTATGGCAAAGGTGTTTACCTCGCGGACTACCCACCTTTGGGTCCGGATAGAATCGTGTGGGTTGAGCAGATATCCGCGGTGGGCCGGCTGTCGTCATCTAACCCCAGAACCTGCACTGGGAAAAGGAAAAGCAAGAGGAAGCTTTGGTGTTTCCACAGTTGCGTCTTCATGCTGCAGGCCCCGGAGCTCCACAGGAAATGCCCGTCGTTTTTCCAGGCTTAATAATTGCTAAAATAAGGTTTCCCATATAAGTCTGGAGAATGACCCGACTGGAGATCCCACTTGATGAGAAGCTCAAGGAAGGGGAGGCTGGAGAGGGCCTAATTGTGTGTGTGTGTGTGTGTGTGTGTTGGGAATCGGAGGACAGATCATACATTGTGTGGTCTATTTAAGCAGCAGTGGCAGTTGTTTATGAAAAGCTTATCTCTTGGCTGTGAAATCCTTAAGTGCGCTGGTCTGTGGGGAGATCTTGAATGCAGAAGTCTAGCGCTGTACTCTCTGGCTGATTCTGCATTGGCGTTTCCCGCTGTTGTTTTACGAAACCCACGTTGGAACAGAAATTCTCCTCTGCATTACATGCTGGTTTCACTTCCTTTGATCATCGAATTTTATGGTAGCCTCCACACTCCATGCCCGATAACTGGATTTTTATGGTACCTTCTGCATAGATTTATGGTCCTTTTATGGCCATTCAGGGGTGATGTTGCAGTCAGTATGGTGTTGCCCCGAGGTATCTGAATGTGGTTTTGAGCTGCATCTTTTTCTCCCCGTTGAGGAAATGCGGAGCGAATGCCAGATGCAGAATCGCCCTCTGTTAGCGTGTCAGAATCTCAAGCAAGAGCAGGAGTTGATCTCTTATGTGTAGCTGCACCTGCCCAGGAAGTAGGGTTGCCAGCTCCAGGTTGGGAAATACCTGGAGATTTGGGGGTGGAGCCTGGGGAAGGCGGGGTGGAGCCTGGGGAACTCAGCAGAAAGAGAGCGATCGAGACAGACGGGGAAGGGCGAGTGTCTTTTTGGCTGCCTGGCGCTGGTAAGGGTTAACGGGTGCAGCCCATCTGCGGGGGTGGGTGGGCGCAAATCGGACAAGGCTTTGTTTGATGCCGAAGGAACTACTAGCTGGGAACGCGGTCTGAACTGTATGGTAGCTGGGAAGGCGGAGTATTCCCGTGCCCAAGTCCGAGGGGATCTCTCTGGGCAGGCGGGCTGTGCCCACGCCTGCCCAGAATGAAGAGTCGCCGAGATAAGGGAAACCGACCGAAGTGGGAACTGTTACCCCGGAGGCACGACGCGCGATGCAGTCCCATCCTTTTAACTCTATCTTCGCCCCAATAAAAAAAAGTTCTCTCCTTCTCGGCTGGCGGAGAGGGCGAAGGGACGGCGGGGTTCACCTGTCAGCCCGGCCGATGCGCGCGCTGACGGTAGAGTTGCACGTTGCCAAATCTCTCGCACATGTCGTAAGAGCCTAGCCGAGCTGCAGTCCTACACCCGCTGACTTAGAGGTACGCCCTACAGAATTCCGTCCCGTAGGACCTCCTTTTTGAGTAAGGCTGCCTGCGTAGCGCTGGGCTCCCCTCCACTCCCAATGCTGTTTCGGAGCGC